CCCATAAGAGCGCAATCTATGAGAAGGGCCATGTCATAACTTCTTTCTATGAGCATCACTAATGAAGTTATATCGTTCAAATACCCAATCCATCACTTCTACTCGTACGACATGAAAAAACTATGCAACTATTAATCGATTCATGGAGCTACTGCAAGCCACTGGACGTACAAGCATAAAGCTAGTTTCTGATCCTTCTTCAACATTCGATTGGAGAGGAACAGCAGCAACTTGACTGGGACAGAGGTCCTATCGGGGACGCTGTTGGCAATAAGGGTGTGGCTCAGTATTTTGGTGCCTGCGCGAAACATCTCAATACAATCGGGGATCACAATGAGTGTGTGATTGCCTCAAGGGTTTCTTACCTAGTTCTAATGCGCCTTCACCCGTATTGTTCCCGCCGTGCTGAACTGTGAGCGCCCACAGCTTATACCCAGTAGCGTTTTGCCGTACTAGCTGCGATAAATGGGATGATGCTAGATACTCAGGAAGCACCTATCAGACACTCTTGAGAGAACAGAGCGAAGGAAGGCCTACCTCATCAAATTCTCGTCCTAAATAAAGTCGATAGAAGTCAGCAATGCCCTCATATACTCCTTCTATCGTCCACTCCTTGAACCAGGCCCGCACGATTTGCTTCCGTAACGACTCTTCCATACCTCTCCCCAGCTCATCCAAATCTTGCCTAAAGAGGAACGACACTTCAACAGGTTGGACTGAATACGCTGTTCAGCAGTGCCGATGAGTAATACAGAAATGGATTATTCTCCACTTGAGACAACATGGGTCCAACATTAATTTAACATTCATGATTACTCATCTCATGACATAATATAAATTGTCAATTGTTCTGAATGTGATGATTCTATGGACAAAAACATCCAAGCTATAAACAATTGGATTCAACAACTACAAAAATCCATCATAGGCTCTCAGCGTAGATATACGAAACCTCCATACTGGACTCCAGTGTGAGAAAATATACACATACTATTCAACCACATGTGTTGGTGACAGTGTAGAAAGTTCGTGAAACTTTTTGCTGCTGGTTTTTGTACACTTCTACCCACATTCGTGTACCCAACTTCTATAATTAGTGACGAAATTTCCGAGCTCAGCTGAGGAAGCCATGCACACGCTGAACACTGCTGTACTCACTCCTCCGTGCTGAGGAAGTCAAATTGTAGTGCAACAGCTTGCGAAGCCTGTACAGGTGTCGACATTATCGCAGTAGTCTTGCCACACCCTCTAGGGCCGACAACCCACGTAATCGAGGCACCCGATGAACCTGGGAGGAACCACTTACATCGAGCCATCTTGATAATCGATCAAGTATTCACTCGATGTATACTCAGCATTCAACAACCACGACGAAGTCAATCCCACGCATAACTAATGCGGCATAAAACTGTTACCACACCTCTGTGAAATACGCTTGAATGCTTGTAGACCTCCGCCTACTCCCCACCTTTAGTGCCCAATATAGCCTTCTGTATGCCATTGGTAATCGACTTGCGATGAATGAACGGCCATTGAAATGTGGCTGCCTGCTTTTTATCAGTTCTTGGAATGACCGCAGTCGAGGCCGAAAACCGAGGCGTCGCCTGCTGACGAAGAGCTCTTGCCCGACGCAGCCAATTTGACATCCGCACCAACG